GGCCTCCTTTCCCTAGAACACCACTAGAAGGGACTGGGACCAGGACTAATTAACTTCTCTTATGGAATAAACTACTTTTGCTAGAATTTAGTCTTGGTGAGAGGAATCTGTGCTTTTCTAGATGGGGAAATGTTGAGTGCCAAGGAATCTTGCCAGCTGGGCCCTGACCGAAAGCGTATAGCAGGAGGGGAGTAGTCTTTGGACCCAGGCTAGGCCTCTGGCCCAGCAGGCTTGAACAAGGAGGCCTTTGGGAGGTTCATTCAGCTGACCCTGGTCCTGTGAATCCCATGAACACATATGCGCCCTCTCTCTCTCTCTCTCTCTCACACACACACACACACCCCCACATGCACGTGCACGTGCACGCACATGCCTATTCTCTGTTCTTGGCCCAAACCGAGCAGAGGCTCCATCTTTCAGGTTCACTGATGCTCAGGCCTGAAATCCCGCAACCAGAATGTGCCTGCGAGCTGGCACTGGGGTTCCTTCTGGCCCCATGACTTCAAAGCCATGGTTTACAAGGCCCCAACTCCTGATCTGGCCTGAGCTTGTGGTCTGAACCTTTCTGATCCTTTCCCTTTAAGAGCTAGCCTGGCAAAGGCTCACTTCCAGGTTCCCCAGAGCTTCAGTGGGATTTCCACAGGAATCCAATCTGCCTTCAGCCCTCACCAGAGCCTGCTAGCTGATCTCCACAAGGCCAGGATCTCTCTGGGCTGTCCTCTAAGGCTGGGTTCTCCCACAGCTCTTTTGGGAAGATGCTCACCTTTGATTTAGAGTCTGGGAGTCTCTGCAGGCTGCCTGGAGGTGGGTGTAGGATAAAATGAGCTGATGAACAAAATTTCCCAGCCTTCTCTCACCTGCCCTTCTCTTCTCTCTCTATGAGGGAAAAGGGCTCCCTTCCTCCCTGCCCAGTGATGATATTTGATAAAGTAATTCTATTAATTAGGCTGAGAGAGAGAAGGGCATTCTGGGAAAGGATGCTGCGTCCTTGGCCTGGACCTGCAGGAGGGGTTGGGCCCTAGCAGAGCTGGAATACCAAAGGGGGAAAGTGTAAATACCAATGGATATGACCTTGTCTTGGCAGCCACGGGGCCTGCTCCTTGACCTGGAGCTCCTCAAAACAAGTGAGACCAAAGGAAGGAAGGTGGAGAGGAGACTGGATACTTCCTGTCACCCAAAGAGGCTGAGCCCACAGAAAACTCCCAGTGGGATAAAATGAAGGGTAAATGGCTTTGATTTTAGGCTCTCAGGTTCCCACTGGCAAGATCAACCTCAGCATTCAAAGAAGGAAGGTGAAGAGAGGAAGGAGGAAGATGGAGAATTAGGATTTTCCAATTGTGGCAGCTTGTGGTTTTGTTTAAGCCGGTTTTTAAGTCCTTGGAGAAACAGAGAAGGGAGACAGAGACCCAGCTGTGAGCATTAGGTAGGACTCTGGAATCCACAGGATGCCCAGGATCATTTGCCCTCCCCTACCCAGCAACACCAACTGGACTTTCTATTCACCCTCAGGGTCAGGAGCTGAGAAGGGCCAGGGCCAGGCTGTTCTGTCACCGCCAGGGGGCAGCACACTCCCACCCACAGTAGGTTGGCATTCAGGCAGGCAGGGGGCTCTCCTCTCCCACCGAGGATATGTGTTTTTGGGGACTAATAGCAGAACTTCACATACCCAGAGGTGATGGGGATAATCCCTGCGATGCCAGCAGCAGTACACTGACTCTCTCAGAAAAGCAGAAAGGCCCAGGGAACAGGTTAGTCCAGAGTTCTAGAATAAAACCGTTCAGCAAGTGGAGAGGCCTTCTCTGGAGGCCTACAGCCTGATGCTGAGCTCCTCTGGCCATGAGCTGGCCAGAGGTCCTCCTCCTAGAGCACCTTTACCTGCTGCCTGCTTTTCTCGGCTCCTCGTGGGTTTCTCTTTCCCCACTCCAGCTTTCCCATCTCCCCGCCTTCCTCCTGGCCTCCTTTCTCCCTGGCATCATTTTCCCTCCACCCTCTCCCCAGGTGCTCATCACCAGCCACCAGCACTGCAGAATGGATGCACTGAGTAGGCAGAGGTTTCCTGGGGAAGGGGGCTGTTTTATTCATGAGTTTGTCTGGTCCCTGTAACAGCTTCTGGCAGATAGCAGGTGTTCAATAAATATTTATTGAATGAACGAATGAATCAGGTGTGGGAGGCTATGATGGATTTTCTTTCTCCTCACCCATTCCACCTCCATCAACTTGTCCCTCTTAGAATGATTGAGGTCAGCCAGCCTGGAAAGCAGGGGAGAGAATCCACAGGGCTTGAAAGGACACAATCCAGAGAGGACTTTAAGGCTGTCACTACAGTCCCCTCGGTGATTCATCCCTTTGCATCCAACTCTGGTCAGACGTGGGCTTCTCTTCCCTGTCACATTGGGATTTCTTTCCACTGCAGCAAAATCAAAGTTGGTTCAAATCTGAAATGTAGGCACCAGATCCAAGAAATGGGAGACTGGGAACAAAGAGGGTGCCAGGAAATGTG